ATCGAACCCTGCTCTCCAGAGTTGTAGTCCATCATTCAGACCACTACTCCATGTCGACTATGGAGGGCTGACTGTAAATGAATAGATGTGGAAGGGACTCCAAGAGCTAGCTAGTCCAACCTTTTGCCATTTAGAGGAACCCACAGTTAAAATATTCTTAGTAGTACTGAACAAGACTGGACTCCGATACTGCAATACTGTAAAACAGAAAATTTAATTGAATAGAGATATAGACTGATGGGATACCCTAAATTAGTAAACTGACTAAATAATAGGTGAAAAGTGACTATTAAAAGATCAAGATAATTAAAGCTATTGTTATAACACACAGTGGATTCAATATTTAAAAATGCATATATATGAAGACAATGAGTGAACATTGAACTAAGGTTGAGTACAAACTGGAGATACTTTGGAAGTCAATTGTAAATATTTGTATATAATTATTGAAAAAGAAATTAATATGTCAACTTTATAGATATGTTTGAATAGTATATGTTAATAAAATATAAATTAAAAAAAAATATTCTTGATAGTAATCCAACCAAGGAGAGGTCATCATTTTTCAAAGTTGTCCATTCCACTGTCACCAACAGGGAGTCCCCGATGCTTCCCAATGCTTACTCAGAAACTCCATAGTTTTCCGACTGAAAACAGGAAACATAATGGGCAGAAGCTCCTTTGTCTTTTTTTTTTAATCATGTTTATTTTATTAAAATATACAGTGACTGAATATCAAGTCGTTACAGAGAATGAGAACCAGCGACTGTCTCCCCAGGTTGTGCTGTGGAAGGAGGTTCAGAAGATGCTGGAATACAAGGCTAGTGTGAGGCATGCAGCCATTCCTTATATTGTTGTACATGACTCGAGTCAGGAAGCACTGAGTGCAATTGAGGGATGGAGAGGAGATTTGCAAACACCTGAATCCCAGATTTATTTGTTTATTTTAAAAAAAGAGGTTTCAATGTGTTGGCAAACCCTAACAAAGAGAATCCTAGAGGGATGAGAATTTTTTTTGCAGTCAAGGCCATGTCCTTTTTGTGCAGAAGATGGCATTTTCCACCCAGAAATGTTATTTTCTACAAGTTTCCCGCATAGAAAATGTTATTTTCAGAGAATGTTTCTGCACAGAAATGTTGGCTGGGATTCTGCATTGCAGTTACAGATTCGTAACCTCGAATTATGGATCCATAATCAATTAGTACTCATGAAGACTACATACAGTGGGTCTTTGTTATCTGCTGGGGTTTGGTTCCAGGACCCCCCCCCCTATGGATAACAAAATCTATGGATGCTCAAGTGCCATTAAATACAACGGCATAGCAAAATGGTGTCCCTTATAGAAAGGGGAAAATCAAAGTTTGCTATTTGAAATTTATACTTTTTCTGGAATATTGTCAAGCCATGGATGCTTAAAAAAATCCGTAGATAAGGAAATTTACAAAGATATTGCATCCCTAGTGCAAATGTAGGAGTTTATCACACGGGAAGCTAAGGGCCCAAATCCCATGCAGAAATCAGATTTAAAGTCCTGGAATATCATTTTCAGACACATTGGGGGCATTGAGCACGAATCCAACATTAATCCATACAGAAAGTGGACAAAATTGGCCCCTTTTTACTTTCGGGAAAATCCAGATTAATCAATGCCCCCGATGTGTCTGAAAACAATCCCGCTTTTGCAGGATTTGTCCACTTTCTGTGTGGGTTAATTTTGGATTAATGCTCAATGCATCTGAAAACGATCCTGCTCTTGTGGATTTAAATCCCGTTTCTGCATGGGATTTGGCCGATTCCTCCTGTGTGATAAACTTCTTACGCATCCTGAGAAAAATTCAGGAAATGGGTAGGAAAGGATGGGGGCAATGGAGTCACAATTTTAGCCTAGCTGGCTGCCTAGCCCAAGGAAACTTCAGCCGTCGTCCGAGTTTTGAGAAGACTCAGAGAAGAGAAACCTCGAACCTGGGCTGGGTTGTAAAGGAAAGAACAAAAGTGGAAGCAGGTCCCCTTAGAAAGGCCAGGTCCAGTCACATTTGGGGTCTATGGCACAGGGCAGTGATTTTCACAGAAATGCTTATGAAATTCTCCCCACCTGGTTTAGTACACCTCTTCTGTGTACATCTGAACGACTAGATCTTGTTTCCGGAGCATCACCAAAATGCTTGCTTGAGCTGCCATTCGACAGTTTTAGAAAATGACTCGATATTACACAGCCTCCTGAAAAATCCGTAGCGCTGGCTGCACATTACGGCTTAGTTCTTTGCTCCCCTTGCAAATTACCGATAAACATCAGCAGACAATTAAAACCACACCTTAAAAAGCAATCATTAAATGATTCCATCAAGAAAGACTCTTGGGTGTTTTTTTTCTCCCCCTTTTGCTTTTTGCATTGCAATTTAATCCCTCCAGACTGAGTCTGAGGTGGCAGAAAGAAAAGGAAATGAAAAAACAGTGGGGAATGGTGCAAACCCTGATTCTGAAACTCTCCCCAAGAAACCAGAAGACAGGCCATGCAAGAGCTGTGGAGTGATAAGGGTTTGGGATGGGTGCATGGAGTCTGCAGCTCCTTGCTCTTCCTACTAGCTTGGGTTGGGGTCTTGGAGTTGCTTAAGGGGATAGGAAAGCAGCAATGCAAAGCCAAAATTCTCCACAGGGCAGCTTCTTCCTCACCACCAAACTCTTTGCTTGTATTGCTTTGCTTTTGCAATACCCCCCAATGTGGATGTTTGGGCCATGCAAGGCAAGGGTAAGACCTAGCAACTGGTGTGAACGGACTGAGTGTACCTTAGAAGACTGGATGTTGATGGTGATGATGATCATCATCATCTCCAATTTATGCTGACCTCTTCCTAAGGTTTTCTTGGGAGGTTTATTTCAAAGAGGTTTGCTACTGCTTTCCTCTGAGGTCAAGAGAGTATCACTTGCCCAAGGTCACTAAATAGGTTTCGATGGTGGAGCAGAGATTCGAACCCATCTTCCAGAGTCCTAGCCCAACACACAAACCACTGCACCATGTTGACTTGTCACCAGAACTTTCCTTCTGCAAATGCAATGGGTTTTTCTTTTTTTGCTGAACAGACAAGTCAATTTGGAAAAGAGCCAGTTGGTTAGTGTATTGGATTGGGACTGGAGAGACCCAGGATTTAGTCCTGGCTGAGTTACAAAACTGACTGGGTGACTTTGGGCCAGCCATCTTCTCTTAGTGTGGACCTACCTCCCAGGGTTGTTGTAAGGATTAAAAATGGATAGGAAGCGTGGCATGTCTTTATCACTGCCAAATATGTGATAAAGGATGTGTCCGCACGGCACATTAATGGCAGCTTGATATCACTTTAATTGCCATAGTACCATCATATGGAATCCTCAAATGGATCATTTAGGGAGGTACTTAGAATTCTCTAGTTCATTCCCCTGAACAATAGCAGTAGAGTTCTCTGCCTGCCAATGAAGCTACAAATCCCAGGATTCGGTAGAATGGAACTGTGCCAAATAAAGTACCAAAGTACCTTAGCTTCAGAGCATGGATACATCTTGAATCATCTAAAACTGAGAGGATGATTCTTCTAGTGTCCATGAGCATTTGTCTACAGCAAAGTCCTGCTAATGTAAACAGTGACAATGGATTTCAGCAACAGAGTCACTGGGAAAGGGGGCTAGTCTGCAACTGTGCATCCCTGCAGACTCAACAGTCAACCAAGCCACTGAGACGCTGCGCCCTTTCCCAGCGGCATGCGGTGCTGAGTCCCAGAATTGGTACCCGAATGGAGCAAGGCCATCAGGAGCGATGTTGGCACAGGATGGCCCTATGGCAAAGAGTTTTGTTTCAAAGGGACCAATTGAGCACATACCTGGTCCAGGCGCATGGGGAAACATGCAATGCACAGGGACCCCCATTTGATGCATTAAGGGTTCGGGGGCATTCTGGAGTATGCGAGGGCCCACCCAGTAGGCACAAGGGATCGTGGGTGCGGCTAAATGTTGGCAAAATGAGAACCAGATCAAAATCAAAAATTCTGCTAGGGCATCTCCCTCTGGAACAAAAAGGAGCTAGGCAAGAGACTCTTGCACTCTGTAAAGGAGAGATTCATTTCCTTTTTCAAGTAATGAAGAATCAGATGCTTCAGGACCCAAGTTTAATAAATGAGGGAGAAGGAGGGAGTGCTATTCATAAAAAAAAACAACCCTCAAACAAAAGACAACGCCAGAAAAAGCCCCCAAACTTTGCTAGGCTACTGGAAAGCTTTCTCCCTAGGCTTCCAAGACCCCCCTTCTCTTTAGGATAGCTCTGTTTCAGACCACGCTTTCTCATGTGAGACCAACCTTTCATGGTCTCCAGCCTCTTTTCCTTCTGCCTTCCTGTCCTTAGATGCTCAACCATGAGAATCCCGCAAGTCTTGCAAATCTTGCAAATAGCATTTCTTCCTGGCTGATTTTGGTCTTCCCCTCCCCAACCCCTTTGGAGTATAAAAAAGAGTTTTTGGTTTATTTTGTTTGCTGTTTTTCTGGTTCTTTCTCAGAGAGAGGTGTGTGTGCTTCACAGGAAAGTTGGACAGCTCCATCCAAGTGCAGGCCAAGGAGGCAGGTGGGTCCGGAGAGACAAGGCCAGAGATTCCCCAGCCTCCTAAATGACATTTTCAAACAGCTGCATGGAGTTCATGATGTTCTCATCCTGAAGAGACATGAAAAAGAGAGAGATGCAGGGACTGAAGACGGAATTTTCCGATGGAAAAATTGCAAACGGCATTCATCGTCACTGGGAATCTGAACAAAGCAATGCCCAAACTATGTGTGTGTGCACCAAAAGATAAATGAAATTAGCCAGAGCCAATATTTCTAATCTACATTAAGGAGCAAAAGCAACCTGCAGTAATGTTTTTTTGGGAGTGGTTGATCATGCAGGATTTTTTTTTAAAAAAATTAAGATTTTGGCTGTCACATTAGACAAGAGGGAATATTTGCAATTTTTTGCATGCTTTTGCATGGTGAATCTTCAAAGGAGCCAATGTGGCATAGTGGTTTCTGTGTTGGACTATGACTCTGGAGACCAAGGTTTGATTCCCCGCTCGGCCATGAAACCCACTGGGTGACCTTGGGAAAGTCACATGTTCTCAGCCTCAGGGGAAGGCAAAGGCAAGCTCCTCTGAATAAATCTTGCCAAGAAAGCCCCATGATAGGTTTGTCTGATGGCTGCCATAAGTCAGAAACGACTTGAAGGCACACAACAACAACTTACTAACTCCAACTGCATATGTACACAGGAAAAAAGGTTCTACCAATTCCAACTTTTCTCCCTTTGGTGGGCTTAGATGGGAGCATAAAATCACATTTCAAAATGGTCTGAGACTAGGCATTCTTGCTGCAAGATTCAGGAGTATGTAATGCAATCTCACCTTTTGACAAGTCTCTAGGAACTCTTCGATTGTGACCACGCCGTCCTGATTTTTGTCCATTTTCTGAAATGCAGAATTCCCCTTGTGAATGCCGGGTGCCTAGTCCAACTTCAGTAAATCTCTCCCTACAACCCTGTTTTTTGCAAGATTGCCATAGATGCATGGAGCTCCCCAACAGCAACCCAAACAACTTCCTTCTTTTGTATCCCCTGGATTGTTTTCTTCCTACAGCTTTAGCAACTCTTTATTGTCAACAGTTTTTCACCCGTTAAACATCAGCCTCCTTGCCCTCCCCTCGATCCCTGCCTGCATATGATACCTGTTTTGTTCCAGCTAAAATCTTTTGTAGGTGTGTGGTCAAACTAGATGTTAAAGGTAATACATATGTGCTGTGATAAAAGCGTTTTTCTCCCCCATAACAGGAGTTCCTCAGAATTAGATGATCAAATTCAGCCCCTTTTTACCTTGTAATGACCAATTACAAAACAAAGCATGCTGAATGCAAGGTACGTAAGTGAGGGAAAATATGTGCAATGGTAAACAGACATATTTCACCAGTTGGGGGAGCTCTTCTATAAAAATTTAATTTGATCTTTAAATGGAAAGTTGAGGTAGATCACTGGGGAGTCTTTATGAGAAAATGCTATGCAGAGCACCAGGGAGAATTAGGCAATCCTCCTTTGGCCATGTCTACTCTGCGGATTTAGTTGCCTGTCGTTTATGGCCCCTGATGTTATCTTGTCTGCTGTTCCTGCCCAGCTCCTACATGTTAGCTTTTTTCTCCATCCATGTATAATTGGATGATATGAACTATCTCTTTGGGCCAGAAACCAGCAGCGCCCACCCCAAGTTCCTCTCTTTGCTAGCTGATGACCTCCCAGTGTCTCCCCTCACCTTTCCTCCTACCTGGAAGAACTTTTCCACATGCTCAATTGGAGCATCTTCCCTCAAGACTGGGTAGGTGTAGCGTCCCATCATGTCATAGATGGACTTCATGATTGCCAACATCTCCTGGGAGAGAAGAAGAGCAAAGTGTTTAGAGCAGACCAGAAGCTGGAGTCAGCCAGCTTCTCCTTTGCTAGGGCTGCTGGGACTTACAGTCCGATGACACTGGGAGGGAAAAGATCTCCATCCATCCATCCATCCATCCATCCATCTGCCTACCTACCCATCCACTCCAAAATGTAACCACTAGATCCAGAGTGCTTCTAAAGGGAAGTCTCCTTGCACTACCAACCAAAAAGCCTTAGGGAGAGGTCTGCCTTGCTTTCCTTCACTGGTTTTGTTTGTTTTTGTAGAAAGGAGGAAAAGATGGAAGACATGGTGGGAAAAGAAAACATGGAGGAGGACTGAAAGAGGATGGCAGCAATGGCATCTGAATACTTGTGAAATTCCACAAAGAAGGCTGGGTGATTGCCATGAGAAAAGACTCATCTGGAGCTGGAGAGGGGCTTAAAATGTTGTTTCAATTGTAAAGGGTTGTCATTGTGGGTTTGCAACTCAAACAACATCTTAACAATATGGTGCCCCCTCCATCCATAGCAAAGTCACTTTTGGGGGCTACAACCCCCAGAATCCCCCAGACAGCTCTTTTTAGATTACAACTGATAAAGTCTTCCACTGGTGTTTTTGTACTACAACTCTCAGAATACACCAGTTGGCTTTTTGGATTACAACTCCCAGAGTTCCCCAGCTGGTGTTTTGGATTTGCAACAAGCCCCAAGGGGGTTGGGGGATTCTGGGAGCTGTAGTCCAAAACAGAAATCACTGCTCACAAGCTTTGAATCCCTCCAAATGCAAAGACTGGGACAAAATAAACTGGGTTACCAATGCCAAGTAACAAAACAGATGGAAAGAGTCTGCCCCTGACAAAACTCTGAAGGTACATCTTGAGAATAAATTGCACTGGAGACAGTTCACATCCACTCTTGACAGGTACCTCCTTGGTGATGTAGCCGTCCTTGTTGATGTCGTAGAGGTTGAAGGCCCAGCTGAGTTTCTCATGCACCGTCCCACGCAGAAGGATGGAGAGGCCAACAACAAAATCCTGCAAAAGGGAAAGACACAGAGAGACTGGGTTTCC